AAAAAGCTTTTTAAAACGAGATAAATAATTTCTCTAACAGAAAAAAAAAACATCTTAGATTCTTTTTTAGAAAATAAGTTCTTTAAAACGAGATAAATAATTTCTCTAATGGAAAATGGGAAAAAAATTTATATGTGATTCAAATTCATTATCTCCACTACTAGCGGATGTGGTGCAGTGATGAGGTTGCTCCTTGCTTGATCAGAGATCTCGAGTTCGACCTGATTATGAAAAAAATTATGATAGGAAACGCTTCAACTGAATGGTCCCTATATGGTGCAAATCCTAAATAGTCGGACTCCAATGCGAATATTGAACACTGAATGAATTTTAAAAAGTTCATTATCTCCTCCTACTCATCCAATCGCCAACCCTCACGTCCCCTTTTTCATCTTTGAGCTCCTTTAATGTGTTGCTAAATTATATATAAATATAATAATATTTTCTTGCTTACAACTAATATTAAAATAAATTAAAAATATAACTTATTTTTAAAAATACATTTTTCATAAAAAAAATATCTTTCCCCCTACCGAACACATCCTTAAAGATCACTCTTTTCAAGCTACACCAATAAATATATAGCAAAAAAAGGTGAACATCAAAGGAAAAAAGATATTTGCCATAATAAGGCAGAAGAATTTCTCTAATTTCTTAATGAACCACGTGTTCTTCTGCTATACATAAACACTCAACTAATAATATTTTCTTGCTTACAACTAATATTAAAATAAATTAAAAATATAACTTATTTTTAAAAATACATTTTTCAAAAAAAAATATCTTTCCCCCATCCTTAAAGATCACTCTTTTCAAGCTACACCAATAAATATATAGCAAAAAAAGGTGAACATCAAAGGAAAAAAGATATTTGCCATAATAAGGCAGAAGAATTTCTCTGATTTCTTAATGAACCACGTGTTCTTCTGCTATACATAAACACTCAACTAATAATATTGGATCTGGCTCCTCTCCATTTTCCCCAAATTCTTGCTTGGATGTGAGACACATGGCATAGGTAAGAATTGATGGCTAAGATTTGATTCATTATAATAAGATTTTAATTATAATTTAGATAATTAATATTTCATAAAAATAGTAATGCCACAATCATACATATATATTATCTTTTCCATAAATATATTATAAATTTTTTATTTAGATTCGGTAACATAACTCACTAGTTTTGGCTCAAATTTATTTAAATATAAAAATTTATCAAATATATATATAAAAAAAACGTAAATTAAGAATTCATGAATTACTATTTACTAGCACTTAAGGCTTGTATAGTTGGAAATAAATTATCTCGAAATTAATTATTTCAAGATTGTTAACCACCCTTAATTAACGTGAATAAAAACAACACTACAATTCTGAAATAAGTTATCACGTTATTACCAAATATAAGATAAACTTGTCCTAAAATTTATTTCGAAATTAGTTACCTCTTATTTCTTAAGGTCATTTTCTTAAGATTTAAAAATTCAAAAAGTTCAAATTCTTAATTCGTTGCCGCTAAAAATACCTAACCTCATTCAACTCTTTTTCCCCTACAAGTTGTTTCCTTTCCCTATAAATATAGCGTCCATTATATCTTTTCTGCATTACAAAACAATCGACTGCCTAAGCAGCTTAGTTTATTCTCCATGTAAGTTACCTTCTTTTTTTTTATTTTTGTTTTATTTTCCATGTAACTACTAATAGTAGTATTTGTTGGTTTGGTAAGGAGAATATATTTTTATTTAGTTATTTGTGTCTTTAACACATTTCATCTTGTGGTTTGGAATTTTTTTACGTTCTAAAAAATCTTTTAAAGAGATTTAATTCCGCATTCTCTGATATCATATTCAAAAGCGGATTTAGAATTTGAAAGCTTCAAAAGCCATACTACTTGAATAGTAATATATGAAACATTTTTTTTTTGGCGTAGCCATGCAAATTAAACTAGTATTATTATTTAGTTTTTTTTTTTTTTCATTTCAATTGTATTATTTATAATTTATTACTGATGATATTTTTATGTGGATTACTGGATTATATTGGTTCTTTTAGTAACACAGGCAAATTAAGTGTAAGCTCTATGACGAAGTCTTCAAGCGTCCCACTACAAACAAACCAAGTAAGAGAAATCTTTGCAAATTAGAATATTTTTAAGTTATAGATACTGATAATATATAAAATTATTTTTTATGTTTTGAATTTATAATTGTGTGATCATCTGATCTAGAAGGTTAAATTATTAAAATAGAGCAAGTTTTAATTTTTAATTATACCTACAACACTATTCATTGCAAATTTTGGATAATGTGTTAACTCGTCTGATAGCTAGTGTTGAAGAACAATTAAGTAAATATAATGTTTTTACTCTTAGCTTAAACAATTAGGTAGGTTGATCACACACTTTAATATATATTATGAAAGCATGCGGGATCTTTTGAGTTTGAGTCTCACAACTACTCACTAGTCACCAAATTACATTTACATTTATGTATACCAAACTTTATACTTCCTTCGTTTCATTTTATGTGATAAAGATATTATTATTTGAAGTTAAATAATTTTTTTATTATTTATAACTTTCTCATATACTGAATTATTAACTATATACATTTATATAGTACTTTTTAAGTAACTTTTTAAAAAATAATTGAAGAATTTATATAAAAATAACAAGAAAAATAAAGTATTTTGACTCTATGGTACTCTAAATTCCTTAAAATAAATTGATTTAATTTGTGGAATAATTGATTTTTAGAACACATAAAATTCGGAATTATGATAAAAGTATTTGGAGGGATAATTGGTTTTATTGTTTGTAAAACTAAACATTTAACAAAAATGAATCTTTGTATTATACACACCCACCCAACCCCTTCCCAAATGAAAAGGGAACATTACATTATTTTTAATTAATAAAATAGACGACGCTGGAGGCTGTCAACATTGATAGAGCATGTGTACCATGATTTGTGATGGAGAATCATACGTCAAAAATGTCAGAACTCAAAATTTTCATTAAAAAAAATGTTAAGATATAAAACCGTAAATTAAAAAAAATTAAGTAAAATCAATGTATTATAATATAATATATATACATGAAAAATATCTTATCTATTTTTTTATTATTATTTTTAAACAAAAAAAGAAATTATAAAAATAAAAAATAAAATTATACGTGCCTCTAACACCCCTAAATCAGTACGGAGGTAGAGTATGACTTAATGGTTTGGTCCACCCTTTAAATCCTAACTTCACACGCCCTTTGTCGATCTATCATCCTTGAATCTTTGACCAATTAAATACACATATACATGCAATACTTGAATTTTTAAATGCCAATGGGTCCCCAATGGTCGTTGTTTGGGTGCACAAATTTCTTTGTGTCCAAATGCCATTTAAATTGGCCTGACCAAAAAACATAGTATCACAAATTCCAGAAACATAGTGTTTGATTCTCTTTTCTTCCTCGATCATCTACTCAATGATCACCATATTATATAACATAATTTTGGTCATATTTCAAAAACGAGTATAGGTTCTATGGACACATTATAATAAAAAAGATATTTCGTGGTAATAGATTTTCTTTCAACAACAATTATGGCAATGTCATGAAATTTAGAGTCGCTTAGCTTTTAATGACATTTATAGAGAGTGCTAATTATCAATTTTTAATTAATAAAATAGACGAGGCTGGAGGCTGTCAACATTGATAGAGCATGTGTACCATGATTTGTGATGGAGAATCATACGTCAAAAATGTCGAACTCATGAAAATTTACTAAGATATAAAACAGGAAATTAAAAAAATTAAGTAAAATCAATGTATAAGATATATACATGAAAAATATCTTATCTAATTACATATATAATATAATTTCTCTACAAAAAAATGTATATGTGCCACTAACACCCCAAAATCAGTACGGAGCTATAGTATGACTTATTGATTCGGTCCAACCTTTGATTGAAATGTCTTAAAATATCTATCAAATATCTATAAGTTATTAATTTTAAAACACAATAAGAAATCTTTACTCGGTATAGTTCAAATGCTGGCTTCATACGCCCTTTATCGGTCTATCATCCTTGAATCTTTGACCAATTAAATACACACATGCAATACTTGAATACAAATGCCAATGGGTCCCCAATGGTCGTTGTTTGGGTGCACAAGGCTGCTTTGCTCCATTCACCACCTCCCTCCTAATTATAGGACACACATATTTCTTTGTGTCCAAATGCCATTTAAATTGGCCTGACCAAAAAACATAGTATCACAAATTCCAGAAACATAGTGTTTGATTCTCTTTTCTTCCTCATATACTCAATGATCACCATATTATATAACATAATTTTGGTCATATTTTGAAAACGAGTATAGGTTCTATGGACAAATTATGATAAAAAAGATATTTCGTGGTAATAGATTTTCTTTCAACAATAATTATGTCAATGTCATGGCATTTAGAATCGCTTTAGCTTTTAACAACATTAATAGAGATTGCTAATTATCAATTTTTAAAGAAGCCTTTTAGTGGTATTCACTATTTAGAGTCGATTTTACATGTAGTATAAAAGATCAGGAAGACTTTTGAATATATATAGTAATAATCTTAGATTAAAGATTTGTGTAATTTACCAAAATGTCATTTTATTCTTATAATCTTAAACAGTAGAATATTAGATAGAAGTTACCAAATATAAAAATAGATATTCATTTTGAAATAAACTAAAAAAAAGAAGTAAGACACTTGAATTAGAACACTAAAACTAGTATGCATACATGTCCCTTTGTGGACATCCGATAAAGTTTGAACGGTACAAAGAAACATGATCCCCTTCAAAAGAATGACACATGTAAATCAAAAAAATAATTCAAAGTATGTATACATAAACATTTACTTTATCATTTTAGCTACATAATGTAATTTTCCAGCGAAAGAAACGTGAACCCTTAGACAAGAGTGGCACCATCAAATGCTATATATATTCTGCTGACACCACATTTGTTTTTTAGACCATAAGTAGCATGGAAGAATCACCTGATCCTCCATTTGTGGAGACATACAAAAATCTTTTAGATACCAATATACTCAATGAAGAACATAATGACCTATTCATGGTGGAAGAATGTGAGTTGCCTTTGATAAATCTTCATGAACTTAAATACGGAGACAAATTGGAGAGAGAAGAATGCAAGAAGAAGATAGCCAAGGCATCGCGAGAATGGGGTTTTTTCCAAGTGGTGAACCATGGAGTTTCACCCAATATTTTGGGAGAAATGAGGACGGAGCAAGTCAAGCTTTTCAAGAAAACGTTTAATGAGAAGATGAATATTGACAAGAGTCTCAATTTCTCCCAAGGAAGTTACCGTTGGGGAACGCCAACAGCCACTTGCCTTCGGCAGATTTCTTGGTCTGAAGCTTTTCATGTACCTCTCTCTGATGTTTCAAAGGGTTTCAGCAGCCTCAGGTACATATTTTAGTTATATTTATGAGTGATATTATATCTTCATCATCTGGTTTTCCTTTTCTTCATCTTAAGGAATATTCTCTTTTATGCTTTAGTGATGTGTGTGTTTATTTTTATGATTGATACTATATAGTCTTCACTTTCTCCGTCTCTTGGAGAGAAGCAGAGACGTCTTAATAAAATTTGTAGCTTTAGATTATATTATATTATACTATAAACAAGAGAAGATCCTCTTAATTTTCTCTTTTATCTACTTTAGTGATGTGCGTGCTTTTCTTTATGATTGATACTACATCTTCGTTTCCCTTTTCTCTATCTTTCTCTAGAGAGGAGAGAAAGCAAAAGTGTTTCAATGAAATTCGTTGCTCTAAATTACAATATATTATAGTCACTAGATTCTTAAAATTTTCTTTTATGTAATTTAGTGATGTGTGTTTTTCTTTATCATTAATACTATATCTTCGTCATCTGGTCTGCCTTTTCTCCATTTCTCTCTAGAGAAGGAGAGAAAGCAGAGACGTTTCAGTAAAATTTGTGATTATAAATTAAATTATATTATAAGTTTGAAATTTTAGTAATTGCACTCTATTCGAATTTCACCTATAGAAATTTTTGAACGAAAGTTTCAAATTCCAATACAATACCATGCTGATGTTTTTTTTTAAAGCTTTTAGAACTAATGAATGAATGGGTCAAGCTCTTCCTTAATGAAAATGATTGCACATGAAAGTCCTAAAATGAGAGGCTAAAGTGTCGGCCAGTCTTTCACATTAAAATGCAACTAAATACTACTCCCTCCGTCCACAATTGTTTGGCAGGTATACTAAAAATAGATGTCCAAGATTAATTGTCAATTTAAACAATCAAGAAATAATTAGTCACTTTTTTCCAATTCTGCCCTTAATGATTGTGTAGTTCAATTGAAAAGTTATGTGGACTTTTGGTATTCTTGATACAGTAGGGTTATATTTGTCAAATTACACCTTGTATTAAATTTTCCTTGAGGGATGTGCATGACCTTACCCTGACAAACAATTGTAGACGGAGGGAGTATTGAATAGTTTTGAAGGGTTGACTAAATATTAATCTTGTTCCTTCTTTTTTATTTTTCATTCAATTTCTAGTATTCATATTGAAGTCCGATAAAATTTAAATTTGCCTTGAAAAGTTTCATATTAAGGGTAAAATGTTCCCTAACAAATGTGAGTATGTACCTAGGAGAACTCGAACCCAAAATCTCTGTTTAAGAATGAAATAGTATCTATCGTTCCACCACAACTCTTGTTGATATGGTACACGTTTTTGAGTGCTGCCGACGGCTACTCCTTATTAGGCAGGAAGGTATTACCCTACAAAGTGGAAGTATATCACCAATTGAAAGGCTTGTTGATAACCTGACTTGAAATGATGGTTCATTTTTTTGACATGTGGGGTTGTTTATTTGAGGATCCAGTACTTTATAATAAGATGAGTATCCTAAAAAGTGAAAAGTGTATCAATTTTAAGGAAAAATAATATGTGTTTCATGCATTTGGCATTTCTTTAGGAGGAGATGTCTTAATCCTTATCCTCATGACTTTGGAGTTTGGACAAGGGCAGTCAACCTAAAACAAAAATACAAAAAGTTAACTCTGGACCACCCTTACCTAATATTAAAGAGGTTGTTTGGAGTTGATGGGATAAGGAATAATAATGTTTTGAAAATTATTTTGTATTAAAATCAATTGAATTGGTTATTTCATATAGAAGATAGGATAGATAATTTCATGAGAGGTTGTTTGAACGTCAACGGAATAAGAAATAACAATTTTTGAAAATTATTTCTTATTGAAATAATAGGATTGGCTATTTCATATAGAAGATAAGATAGATAATCTCACGGGAAATTAATGAGGTTGTTTGGACGTCAAATGGTATAAGAAATAACAACTTTGGGCATCAATGAAATAAGAAATAATAGGATTTGACTATTTTATATAAAAGATAGGATAGATAATCTCATGAAAAATTAATATGGTTGTTTGGAATAACGAATTACAATTGCTCCACCACTAATTAATAACATGTAACATCTTGTGATTTTTCACATTTTAAGAAGACTTATCCTTATAAGTTGTATATTTTTTGAATAATCTGATAGTCTGTTAAATTTTTATTTTTGGATGAATTCAGCTCTACCATGGAAGAATTTGCAACAACACTATCTGAATTAGCACAAGAATTAGCAAGATTATTAGCAGAGGAATTGGGAGATTATAATTATAAGTTGGATTATTTTAAAGAAACATGTTTGGCAAGTACTTGTTACCTAAGAATGAATAGATATCCAGCATGCCCTATTTCACCACAACTCTTTGGATTAATGCCACATACTGATAGTGACTTCCTCACAATATTGCATCAAGATGAGATTGGAGGCTTGCAATTATTTAGAGATGGCAAATGGATCTCTGTTAAGCCTAATCATGAAGCACTTATCATTAATATTGGAGATTTATTCCAGGTACTTTAATCATTTTCCTATACTACATCAACAGTCATCCTCTATAATCATATTTCACTATAATGATCTAATTTCATTTGTAAACGTTTTTTTCATGTTGTGTTATATTGTATATTCTCCATAACATCATTTTGCTATAACAACCAAAAAATATCTAGACAAATGACGTTGTTATAGAGAGGTTGACTATATTTTTCGAAAAATATTTCTGATCATACGAAAGACATTCTTATAATTGTATGACTTGTTTAATTTATTAAAAGTATATTTCTAACTTTTTGTCTTTTTTTTTTACAAATTAATGAAAACGTGTTATATGATGCAGGCATGGAGCAATGGTGTTTATAGAAGTGTTGAACATAGAGTTGTGACAAATAAATTTAAAGAGAGATTTTCAACTGCATTTTTCTTATGTCCCTCTTATGACACAGAAATACTAAGTTGTGTTGAACCTTGTCTTTATAGAAAATTTACATTTAGAGAATTCAGACAACAAGTCGAAGAGGATGTCAAGAATTTTGGTTATAAAATAGGTCTTCCTAGGTTTCTTGTATCAACCAACTAGAACACACACAAGTTAAATTACGGAAGATTTGATTTTGTAGCCCTTTATAAATTTATTTTTAGTTTTATGTCTTTTTTTATGGGAGATATTCAATTTTACAAGTAAGAGATCTGAAAATGTCATTTTTTTTGTTAAATTTGTAAGTGATAAAAAAAGATCGTTTCCACTATGTTACAACTTTAATTAAAAAGTTAAAAAGGCCAAAGCCTTATTTTTTTCCTTATTTTTTCTATTTACTTCACATGTCTCACAATGTTAGAACCTTAAATCATCGATTTTGAAGTATAAAATTGAGAGATTTTGCCTCAAACTTCTAGATATGTAATTTGAGGGTTTGAAGGTCGATTTAAATCCAGAATGAAAAGTCTTCGCATTTATTATAGTATAAAATTTAGGAATCACATAGTTTTAATATGAAATTACAATCTATTCCTATTTAGTTTATAATTACATTAATCCCTGAAAAAGTAAAACAAATCGGATACATAATATGTAGCTCGAATACATTAAAAACTAGCTCGGATACATTATAAAATAAACCGGATACATAATATGTAGTTCAGATACATTAAAAACTAGCTCGGATACATTATAAAATAATTTAGAATTAGGAGAGAAATAAGGGGTTTTAGAAATAGAAGGGAATATTATAAATAAGGGAAACATAAGACGTGCATTTCAGTAATTTTTCCTTTTATAAAATTGAATTCATGATCCAAGACACATGACAAAACAATACAACATCTACACACTCTTAAATCAAAATTGAAATACTAATTAATCCCATGGACTTAACCAACATTCCTCAGGCTTTACTTTGTATCTCTCAATATCTTGGCAATAATCATAAGTTACAAAATTTCTTTGCACCCAACCATAGTCCAATTTTTGATCACTTGAAAGGTGCCAAGAATTATATTGATCCCACCAATTTTGAGTAGTTGTTGAAACACAAGAAGGGAAAGGATCTTCCCATTGACAACCATCAACATTGAAATTCATATATGTTGATACAAATGGTGCATTTTTCCAGTCCGTTTTCTCTAACCCGCCCCGAGTAGCCCAATCATCCGCGTTCCATATGCTCGAAAATAAGTACATTGGCTTCTCGTTAGGGAAGAAATTATTCGTGTAATTCGTGTTTTTGTATACTCTTATTGGAACCTTATCCACGAAAAACCTGCACACACAACAATTAAATACATACAAAGATGGGCAGAATGTATCAAAATAACCTTTAATCTTGTCTTGTGATCGTAAATATGTCAAGTGGAAAGTTGAAATGTCAAAAAAGGAAAAAACAACAATTTATTTTTTTAAATAGAGTAAAAAAAAAGTAAAACAAACAAATTGAAACAGTTAATATTTCTATACTTAAATCTATTTCCTTTTGCTTGAAAGTTGAGAGTTGACTAATTTAAGAGTTTAATATTTTTACCAAGTGCACCCCAATTTCTAAGAAGGTACTAGGTGTAATAGTATTCTTTATTCATTTGACTTATAAAAAGACAGATCTCTGCCATGAAATGTTTTAAAGTGAATCTACACGTCTATGGTCGATACTCGCATTGAGATTCGACTCAGGTTAGAGTCACATGAGTGCAAGTGGTTCATCTCGATCCCATTCGCCCAAAACATATACTGTATAATATAATGTTACAATTATTTTTTAGATATATATAGTAGATGTTGAATCATCTTGACTTTTTGTGTGTTCAATATTGTTAATACTTTGAATCTCCTATATGAAAATACTGACTCTGCTACTACTGATCCGACTAATTCAAATTTCAGATTGAAAAAGGTACTTACACAATTTGGTGAGAATTCCAAAGAATAGAATATGTATGGAAGTCTTGAGTAGGGTCAAACCATAGAACATGCCTCATCTCACGCCCACCAATACCATTTTTATACACATTTGTTTGAATAAGATAGGGTTCCCCTGTTCTATTCCCCAAGAACTCAAAGTCTAGCTCATCTCTAGTTGGCCCTGCCCCATCTTCTGTGCACATCTGTCGAATTCAAGATTTAAATTTTATGAGTTCAACACGTAAGAATTTACATTTTTTGTCATAAATTTAACTTGTATACATTAATTAATGTGTATACGTTATACACTTATTATATACTGAATATGCATCGACAATGGCTAGGTAGACAGAAATTCTTTCAGTTGACTAACTAAAAATGTTAAGATCCATAGCATCAACTTTCCATATTAAACTTGAGATAGTAACTTCAAAAATAGATTAATCACAAGAATTTTTTTATATGATCAATGTATATAACTAAATTAAGTTATGCATGAAATATATTCAAAATCTTGCAACTTACATAATAAGCTGTAACAACACCAGCTGAATCACCTCCTACCAATTTCAACTTCATGCTAAACCAACCAAATCTATATCTCTGTCTGGTCATAAATCCACAACCTATAAGAAGAAGAAATACATCAATGTTACTTTAAGGTTCAAATGTCAAAAATAAATGAAAAAAATTATAGAAAAATAATAAGCACGATATTCTCTTGAGTTAATTCTAAGTAGAGTTAGATCTCTTTATAATATCAAAGTTTTCATTGGAACTAATTTTCATGCTATGTTGTATGTTTTATCATAACACTTTGCAATATCCAGACAAAATAATATATGTTGTTATAGAGAGATTTGATTGTACGTGCGTACCTGCTTTGTTATCTAATGATAGATACCAGATCTGTCCATCTTCAGAAGTCTTGAAGTGAGAGTCAGGACAATCACTTTTACTAAAGTTGTCTTCAAATGAACATTTAATTTCAGAGCATAGGATAGCAATTACAATTCCAATTAAGAGAACTTTAGCCATTGAAGAAGCCTTTCTCTCCATTTTTGGTTTCTTCAATGAAATTCCTCTTGGAAGAGTAGTTAGACCTTGGCTAATAAATGGTCCTTTTCACTCATATTTAAGGGCAAAAGTGGAAATAAAAATACTTTATGTTTGTCTAACATCTTTAATAAACTTTTTTTGCGCTTCGACTATTATTTTATTTTGTTATAATGACTCTTTTATATTACTATTTATTATTTGATATATTTTGTATTTATGCTCGTCTTTATTTGTCTTTTATATCTTCGAATAAGCAAGATTCTGCTCTTGTAAAATCAAAGATAGTTAAATATGTGATACTAATTGATTTAATATTAAAAAAACTTGTGATTTAAAATAAGTCAAAGATATTTTATGGTTATAAAATATTTTGTTAAATATAAAAGAAAACTTTTAAAATAAAATTGTTTCTAATTATAAAGGTAACATTCCTTTTTAAATAGATTAAAAAGGAAGGAATGCAACATAATTGAGAAGATGAAATACTCCTCGATTTAATTTTTTCGTATGATTTTGACTAGATATATATTTTAAGAAAATAAAGAAATTTTTTGTATAATGTATCAAAATGTTATTTAATTTTATGGTCTTGAACATTTTAAGTGAAAAGTTAGAATCAAAGAGTTATTAATTAGGAAAATGACATTATCTTTTGAAATAAACTAAAGAGAAAAAAAAGATAAATAAATTAAAACGAATGAATGGATCGTAATATGTTCTATCGTTTCTAAAAAATCAAATTAAAAACAAGTTGCAAGAAAGTCAGCTCTAAGATGCCTTCTTTAAATGAAAGTCAGACTGCATTAGATTAGTGTTAAGTTTTTATAATATAAACTTCTCGATTTAACAACTGGATTTTGCTAATTAAGGTAAATAATTACTCATTAATTTATTCATATTTATTTGCCCCTCTACTTTAAAAAAATTATTAATATTTATCATTAATTTATTCATATTTGCCCCTCTACTTTAAAAAATTATTTATATTTATCCTTGTTATACTTTTTAGCCACATCAATCCTCGTCATTATACTTAGGGGGTTTTACCTTCATAATTATGTTTTGTTTAAATATATCCCTTGTGGATTTTGTCCTAGTATAATCTCTTTTATAATTTAATTAATATAGTTGGCAATTTCTATTATAGAGATTATTAGAAATAAAAATATAATAAAAAATATGAAATCTTAAACAACAACAAGACAGTTTGGCCGAGTGGTCTAAGGCGCCAGATTTAGGCTCTGGTCCGAAAGGGCGTGGGTTCAAATCCCACAGCTGTCATTTTAATATTTCATTTTAGGTAATTTTTCTAAATACTAGATAATAATCTTCATTCTTTGAAAAACTTGAATTAGTTATCGCCAAATCAAAACTTTTACCAAAACTAAAAAAAAAAGCTCTTCCTTCATTTGTATCTCCAACAAACAAAATTACCATGTACATTACCATTAGTATAACTCCTATGCCCATCGAAATCTACTCATATAAATAGTTTTTTGGTGTGCGGGATACCCCTCACCACCTCATTTAAACTCTTCCAAAATCGATTTTAGCCTCTTCATCCAATTGCCTGCTTAAGGTGTTTATGTACTAATTAATTATATTCATGATAAATTCTTCAAAGATTAGTTTAATCGTCATCATCACATCCTTCTCGCTCTTGAACCCCAAACCCTAACCTCACCTGAGTACATGACTTTACTTTATCATAATCCTTCAAGCCACAATAAATGATAAATATAAAAATGACTGGGATAATTTTTTAAAGTTACATGACATTATTTACATCATTTATAAAATGACAAAGGCATATATATGCACTGTTTTTTAACAAAAGGTATTAGAGGTATATTTTCCATTTAAAAAATGGCATGTGGAGTGTCAAAAAAGTCAAAAGTGGGATTAAAAAAACAATACAATATAAAATTTATGGAGAGGAATATTTCTAAAACATTAATTTCGTATTTAAATGTTCTTTGTAAAGTTTACCCCCCAACCTTTCTTTTTTAGTGGTTGGCCACATCTCTCATTTCTCTTTTTCTTTTTCTTTTTCTTTATCTCTTTCTTCCTTCTCTATCTCCCTCCTTTGAATATCTATACATAACTATCCATTCAACAAAAGAAAATAACATCATTAATTGTTTTCATTCAACTCTCACATTTTGTTTATTTATATTTGATGGATCAACTAGCTTGATTTTTGTTTTGTTTTTTCATGAATGCTTATCACATTTATATATCAAAATTATTTGGAAGAAGGTAATGGAAAATGCAAGGCCAAGGGAAGGAGAATTAGCTTTCTTTTTTTCTTTCACATATTTGTGTATGGTATCACCGTCGCTTTAATAAGGTACTATACTCAGAGACAGATTCAGAATTTAACTTTTATAATAAAACATTATTGGTTCAATTGTACACATTCTTGGTTAGGCAAGGGAATGATTGAAACTTTTTTTTCTTCTTCTATATTTTTAAAAATTGTATAATTTTTATAATATGTTCCATGTGTTTGCCTTTTTGGTTAGGCTAGGGAATGATTTATTGACATTTTATGACCACAGGTTTTTGGCTTGGGGTTTATAGTTTCTTCCATGGGAAACAAGATGAAGGGGATCATCAAAGGATTCAAATATATGTTTAATAATTTTGGTAATGCCTAAAGATTTTATGTTTTTGAGGTTTATGTTGTCTGGACTTTTCAAAATGTTATCGAATATGTATAGGATAATTTAAAAGTACATTATATCCAACACGTATTTAATAACATTTTTGAAAAATTCGAATAGAGCAGAGACTTGATAAAGATAATTGATTTGTGATTAAACAGCGGTGAAGGAGAGGGAGTTGGAGATTGGATGTCCAACTGATGTTAAACATGTGGCACATATTGGCTGGGATGGCCAATCTGGCAATGCACCAAGTTGGGTATGTTCTCATTTTCCCATCATGTTTATTTGGTCCACAAATTATGCATCTTCTCCTATGCAATTTCATCATTTTGTACTAAACCTTTGTCAAGTGTCCTATGTTGGTTGAGGGAAAAAGTTATTAATCTTTTATACAGTTTTAGATAATTTTTATATTATGAACTAGTTTTTGAAATTAAGTTAATTTCAATATATGTGGAATTTACTTAATATATTAGTAGAAATAGAATCGTCCTTGTTTATGGTTTATCCAATGTTAGACTTCTTTTGTCAATGGTTACGAGTTTGACAGAATTTGATTGTTTTTGTCAAAACTCTGTGTAATTATATTTGTCTTAAGAAATATATATATAAAATATATAGTATTAATTTATTCAGAATTCATTAAATTATATTTTCTATAATTCAGGATAGATCAACCTTTGTGTTTCGGAAGTAGGGGCGGATTTATAACCTTTTTATGGTGCTTGTGAATTCATAATTTTCTGTCAAACTTAATATGTTTTAAGTACATATTTTTTAAAATTGATTTAATATTATCTGCTGACACTCATGTTTTAGAAAAACTAAATGGTACGCCGGGCTGAATGCTGAGTTATTTACCAAGAAGATCGGGATTCAATTCCCACTTAATAGAAATCTCAAATCCACCTCTGGACGGAGGAGTTAAGTGTCATTTGAGTGAATGGGATGTTCTTTGCCTTATATGATCTTGAACCACATGTGAAGTTAGCTTTTACGATTGAGCTAGCCTGATGTTCATTTTTTTAACAAAGTTTTCCCATGCCTAACAATTTGTTATTTTAGATGAATCAATTCAAGAAAGGGCCTGATTTTGCAGCAGCTTCTATTGGTAATTCTGGTTCTTCCCTTTCTCCATGGACTTCTCAAGGTAATCATTTGCTTTTAAGAAAATGTCTTTTTCCCTTAAACTCCTTTCAACAAAAGAATTATTGATCAAAATGTGCCTTAAAACAAAAATTAAAGATTAAACAAAGTATTTTGATATGTTGGCTTCAATCACATGTGTAGTGTCCTAATCAGACAATGGCAACTAGGGTTTCCTCAGTAATCTAGATGTTGATTGAAAACTAATAAGCTTGTCCTATTTTATGTTTGTATTATTGTTGGGAAAAATATACAATTCAGTCGGTGACATTTTTTCCTTTTTTAGTCAAAAAAAAATATAATATACTCCGTACGTCTCAAAAATAAAAGTCACCTTAAAAAAAATTGTTCCAAAATAAGTGTCACATTAGAAATTCAAACACAAAAAATAGTACTATAATTTTCCAACTTTTTAGTAGTGTTCAATTTTAAAAGACATTTATCAAATAGGTGTGATTTAGTGAACTACACATTATATATATTGATTTCTTAACGGACGTGATGCTCTAAGATTCTTTTCCTCAAGACAGGGAAATATTTTGGCTCATCCTTCACGAGATGTCTAAATAGGCCCTAGAAAGGGACAATTTTTCTAGTCTATCTGTCCAAAAACAAATTATTGGATGGTAGGCTATATATTGGCTTGTACTATAGTGCCCTCCAAAGTAGTAATTATTTTGTCGGGTACTTGTTATCTCACATCTTATAATACAAATATTGAGTGACTTTCTCCATTAAAGTTGAGGCAAATAAATAAATCAGCTAACTTTATTAACATATACCTCAACTTGAATCATCTATGTATATGTCAAGATCAATACAATTAACCAATCATATGAGCTTTTATCTTGATTAAGCTTTTGATTATTACAATCAACATGTTGTATTTATGTTACTCGTCTTATTTTTCAGGTTAATAGTTACATGTAATTGTTTTTTAAAGGACTTAATAGCATAAGAATCTCTTTAGCTATTAGTATCCAAAAGTTAAAACTCATTTATTTATTTTTGCATTGATTATTTGTTTGAAAGGAGTTGGAGAGTCAAATGAAGCGCAATCAACATGTGAGACTAACAAGGAGGTTAATGTTAAGAAGCAGAGGAGGAGGAAGTCCAAGACAACTTCCTCACCAAAATCTAGCTCATCATCAAGAGCAATGAAATCCAAGGCTAAATTTGTAAAAGAACAATCCAAACCAACAAACATAGAAGTGGCTTAATGTTAGAACCAAAAACAAAAATGAATCTTGTTTTTTCCTATCGAAGTTTTTTGAAAATTCTCATGATGTTCAAATTCTGAAAAGGCATTGAAGAGAATAGGAAGGAGGGAATAGAAAATCGTCCTAGAAGGGATACATTGTAAATGTGAGTGAGAAATACAAAAAAAAAAAAAGGGGCTAGAGATGTGAAACAGAAAAAATGTAGAATTTGATTTATAAATGGAGAGACATGCTTTTGGGAAAAATTGTAGAATCTAAATGATCAATGGATCTTGTTACTAACTTATTTTCTTATGTTGTAAATTGATTGATTTTCTATGTGGAAGAAAATCCCATCACATAAATAAGGCCCAGCTTGGCCTTTGAAATATGATGGGCTGGGATGGGTCGGCCCACTATTTGTGTGGGCCTTAAATGGTTCTCCCAATACAATCTTGAGAGGGTCATGGGTTGGATTGCGTGAATCCATTTGAATGAATAATATATTAAAAGGATAAAAAAATATCGAGAAAAACTCATATCTAAAATTTGAGACTATATAAAGGAGTTTTGAGTTGGATGGCCATTGAAGAGCTTCTAAGCTCAAATTTTAAAATTTGTCACAAACATAATTGCTTTAAGTGAATAATATGTCAAAAGAAACGAAATACTGAGTCTAAATTTTAGATATGTTTTGCGGATAATTGAGCTTGTTGAAATAGAAAAATAATTTACTTCATTGAGGAAGATAAATGGTGTATGTACACATTATATATACACAATTTTACACTATTTATACAATATAGATACACTACGTATACATACGATTATTTAGCTGATTTTTTTTCCGTTGTGCAATACATTTATGTAAGATACCCATCACATAAAGGGCTAGGTTAAGGCGGCTTAGCGGGTCAAACTCATATTTAATCATTTATGATGATCTCTCCAAACAAGCGCACGCTTATCTTCAAATATCTTAATGTCTCTAGTTGCAATGGAAAACCGCATACATTGCATAATCAAATTTATGTATCTAGAATTATGTTACATTTATTTCTTAACAGTAATTACTTCAAATAAATCATTAACACAAAAGAGTTATTATTAGCTCAGTAAAGCTTCTCAAAGTAGCTTATCATTGTCATTACTTTGCATGCAACTAAAAACCACAATAATTAATTGAAAAGGTTACATATTTGGCCTTTCGCTAAAAATAATTACAATCGTTAGCCATATATACAATAATTATGCATAAATAATGTATACTATATGCATATATATATTAATATACATTTTTTGCTATCTCTTTTGTGAGCAACTATAAAATGTAAAAAAAAAAAAAAAACAGTTCAATGTCTTTAAGTGATATCGCTTACTCAATATGTACACAATGTATAGGTTAGGTACCAATGCATAACCAATATTTATGTAATGTATATTTCGACTATTTTTGTACGTATTTTGTAAACTGATTATCTGAGCAATATGTTTCGGAAAACATCCCATATAAAAATCCCTTAATCAAGTTGTTTTAGTTTTTAGTTTTATAATTTGTTTGCATCAAAGCTATTGTTGGTCCCCTTTTCCTGTTAATTCATTCATTAATTTCCATTGAAAATTCTTTTTTTATTTTGTGGGTGGAAAAAAAAAAAGATTCATAAGTTGAAACAAATAAGAGCCTATTAATTGTGGGAAATCCCGTGAATGGTGAAATTAAATTCTGATTGTCTTAAATAACATAGACAACATAACAAAATTAAATTCCAATTTAAATATAGGCAGGTACCTTTCCATATAATAATTAATACACTATACCTCAATTCCTCTAGTTGGTAATACAGGCCAGCTGGTTTTCTGCCCCACATTTTTTATTTACGATCGTTGTTTCGATTATCGTATTATCTATTGTTGTTATTGTTCTTTTTTCTATCAATTTTCAATATGATTTCTTTTCTAATGTATTCTCTTATACAAGTTTTGATATGCTTTTTACTGAAACTGAAAGTCAATCGAAAATAGTATTTCTTACCATCACAAGATAGGGGTAGCATTACGTACACACTATTCTTTCAAGACTTCACTTAATTTTGAGATTTCATTGAATGTATTATTGTTGTTTCCGTACTTTCAAGCAACTTATAAGGGTGGCTTGGAGGTAGAGGCGGACCCACCCCTCTAGGTGGGGTGCACGTGCACCTGGTTACTTTAGAAAAAATTATATATATATTGAGAAACTGATAGAAATTAGGATATAATTAACAATGCATCCATAAAAAACATAGGAGTGTCAGTGTACGATATATTATTTTTTTATGAAAACGATATTAATTTTGAAACCAAAAAAATAACAATAATAATAATAATAACAAAAAAATTCTCTTTTTTTGTCACACTCACATTTGATTAAAAGCCAGTTTGCCACACCTTGTTGTGGTCCTCAAATTAATGGCTTATATTTTCAATTGTCACCAAAATTGACTTTTAAGGACACATTAATTTGATCTTGTCATGAAGCCTTAATATCTAAACCATACCCTTTTAATTATGGCTTAATTTGTTATCAATGATTTTCATAAATGCTCCTACCAAATAAATATACATAGCTATGAATATACTTTGATTCAAAAGAAAAAGCAGAGTTATATCTTCTAAGAATTAAAGCAATAACTGCGGGATAAAGTAAGAAGATGTACGAGAGTAATTTGTATAATAGATACTTAGAATGTTCCACGATTAAGTATACTTATTCGAGCTGATTTTTTTAAAATAAATCAGTTTACACATAATTGATAAGTTTGAATAAATTATTAGAGTGGGAATTCCAATTAGCAATTAAAAAAAAGGTGAAATAAACCTATAATTATACACTGAGTTAAGGAAATTTTCACAATTAAATTATTTTAGTAGGTAATTATTGGTAAATGATTGACCATTGAAGTTAGTTGGGAGTTGGGACATCAATTTTCTTGATTGGATATTCTATTCAAAAATTATTATTATCTCCATTCAAAAAAAATTTGTTTACTTTAGTTTATATAGTGATGTTTTTATTTTTTTATTTATTATATCGTTAACACTATCTATTGAGGATATACATAAATTAATATGAGTATTATCAAAATATACATTGTTGAAATCAAATTTTAAGTGAAGAAGATAATGAGTTTCATAGTGATTTTTTGTCATGTAAGTTGTTCTGTTTTTTCCAACGATGGAATGCTAGAAAGGATATCATACGTTTGATTTGGGGACCATAACCTATATATATATACACACACACTCCAATAACACAAGTTGTATTTCTAATTTAGTCCATCATTAAGTTAGAAATTATGATCAAATATCTACACATAAGACCTCGTACTTTATGAGGCGTCTTGTACACTCAAGAACTTTAAGCCTTAGAAGATCATTATTAATTTTGATCAATCTTCTAGCGATAACATAACAACCAACATACAATTATTAATAATAATAACATGTGAGTACCATAAAAATTTCTAAAAATCTCTTACTTGAACTAAAAAAATCTCTTTCTCACCTTCTTCAAAAATGTTCTATTCAAGTAGGAAAAGACTATTACTATCAACTTTTAATAGTTTGTTAGTATCAATACATGTAAGAGAAGTCAATTTTTCAATATAAGAAGTATTAAGAACTAACTAAATGATCACTCAAGATTACAACAACATATATTGATGATCACAAATCTTAGTTTTTTTAGTTTAGTTATTTAAGTAGATAAGTGTATTTAAAACTGTCAATAGTTCGAATACGAAATTAATATTTTTTTCTTCAATTCAACCATGCTCTTTAGTCTTCCTTCACGATGACAAGAAATAAACTACAAAAGTAAGCTATCAATTTTCATTAATGAAAATTCTTGTTATTAATGTTCTTAGGTGAAACGTGATCTATGATGAGAAAAATAGGATAAATTTTATAGATGGCTAACTATGAGTTTTTTGTTTTCATCAAAGATATTTGATTATATTTTTTAATTCGAAAATTACACAACTTTGCCTTTACATACAAAAAAAATTATATATGTCAGAAAATTTAACTTTCGATGAATAATTTCTTTTTGCTATTTTTTTAATCTAATAATACAAAGTCAATTAAAAAAGATCAACCATATCCGACCCGATTCAAAACCCAAATTTGATGGGTAATAATCTTTTACTCTTTATTTTTGTTTTAATCGAATAAAGTAAGAAATTATTACCTATCGAATTTGGTTTTGGATTGGATTAGATCGGTCTCTCTTTTTCTTTTCTTTTTTTAATATTGAATTTGTATTATTAAATCAAAATAAGAAAATACTAAAACAAAATTACCTATCAATAAATCAATTTTCGTCATATGTGATTTTTATATTAGGTAGTAAGACAATATTTTATGTTGTATAAATGTATGTATGTATTTTCAGATTATTATACGTTTTGAATGTATGTGAGACCAATTGTAAGCATATGTCTGTGTGACAGTGACAGTGGCAAGCATATATAAATAGTTAGCATTTTAGGAGAAAATAATTTCCTAACAACAAATCAGTTTCTAATTTATCATAGGTAAATATTTTTAAAATACAAAAAAATACCTTAAAAACGGTATTTAAAAATACCAGAGTTATGGGCACAAAATCAGAACCAGAGTTAGATTTTAAAAATAAAATAATATATATATAATTGCATGATTCCACTACATTATATAATTTTTTTAAAGTATCGCTATAAATAGTAAGGGCATGTTTGATATTTCGACTAAAAATTAACACTTTTTTAAATATCTTTTCAGAAAAGTGTTTTTGAAAAGAAAAATAATAATTTATGTTTGATTAGTTCATTTGAATAATGCTTTTGATGAGCATATATATTGTGTTTGACTAATCTTTTTTTTTTTAAATACTTTTGAAAGTCAAATTACGATAAAGACAAATATCAATGTACTTCTAATATTAAGATTGTTTTTAAAAAGAAATTAATTTAAATATCTATACTTTTATTAAATTAAAATATACCTATTCAAATATTCAATAAATATTATTCATAAATAATAATAAAAAAATAT